ACCACTGAGTTAGAAAGATAGATCTTCTGAATAGGGAATGGAAATCTTTTAACCAAGCCAAGCTCCAGTGTGGTCCCGTTGACCCCATAAAGAGAGGCAATTCACGCCAGCAGCACCATGTTACAAAATTATTGACGCCACCTAACATCAACCGCCGTCTTGAAGACACTCCGACAGTCAAGAAGATTCCCACACTCAGCATACGACCTGGATAGTCACAACTCGTCCGCTTACCGAATTTAGTTAAACAATAAGCCGAGTGTGGGAAACTGGAATGCTCTCATTTCAAAATAAAAAGCAGTCGACCTTGACGACGTTTCGTACACAAAAGGAGAATACGTTTGAACAAAAAACATCTTATCATTAGTAGTACTGTTGGCAATGTTATTATTAGGATACTCGCGACTCATAACTGCATAGCTACTCAGTTCCCGAACTCATTGGACATGCCATTGTCTCCAATACTTTGCTGTATGTTCCACTTTCTCTCACCTTCTAGTGATCGACACTGTAGCAGTTAGGACCAATGTTCTCATGGTACACTGTTTATAGCTGGTAAATTGAATTATTCTATTGCTCTCAGCTCCGTCTTCTCTCCGTCTTCAAAAGAACTCGAGTATTTGGAATCCGGTCCGACTAATGTGTGCACATAATCCTGCACAGGCATTGTGAGTTAAAAAAAGCGATCAAGGAATGAGATATGACGTCAATGTATAGTTCATGTTTCACCGTTGTACCCAAAAGTGTAGTGTGTAAGGCGCGGCACACCGCAACTTCCAGACCCACTCGCATACTGGGATTAGTATAGACACGTTTGTTAATTCTCCTAAAATCCACGCTAGCTTTCTATATGCGCGATTTCAAACCATTATAGATCAGGTAATTGGTAGTCAGAGTACTGCCGAGGCATCAGACACCCAGTACCATTCGCCTCTATCATGCGCAAATTCGAGACTACCTCAGGAGCGGGTTAGTAGAAGAAAATCGTCTTAATACTATCTATATTCAGGCCAAAGCAGGGTTCGAATGATACGAATGCCAGTAAACTCCATAATTCCCCTTCGGTATGTGCCAGTGCGCGATCATCAGGAGAACGTAACACACGTACCTTCGAGTTATTTGGCTCGGCGTTGTGAACTGAATAGAGGACCATCCAAAGGATGTAAATAGGCACACCATCTCCTGAATTGCGAGGACTTCCGCGCAACCAAGTTGTCCAGGCTGAAACCTGAAGAAGCAGTCCCACAGTCTTCAACATTAGCCTTCCATATGGAGTGAAAAGACTTGACAAGTACGACAGATTTGTTTGGGCAGTCCATCTTCCGAAAGATTATCTCAAAAGCTTGCGAAATCAACTGATGGGACATGGTGACTTGTTGGGTCAACGCCGTTGGTCTTGTATTTGCCTCAGTGAGCCAGTTAAATCAACGAGGCTCCATCATCCCGGACTCCATACTATTCCTCTGGCCCATTTTTTTTTGAAATTTTCGCCAGAACACCTCATTTGATTTGCAGAGTAGACTCCATACATTCCTCTGGCCCATTTTTTTTTCAAATTTTTGCCAGAACACCTCAGTTGATTTGCAGAGTACCAACCAGGATTTTATTAACAATGGTGAAATTTGTACTGTGGTGTTATCCATCGAGTTTGAACAGCTCGGCTGGTGGCCCGTCATCTACACAGGCTGTCCCGTTTTGCAAAATTGCCATTTGTGGTTCTTTGATTGTAGGATGTTTCTTTTATATACCTTAAGGTATATGGTTCGCTTGATTTCAATCAATTCCCGATGGGTGGTTGAGCAGTGTGGAGACGTGTTTCTACGTTGCTAATACATTTTCAGTCTTTAATGTTTCAGTCTTTGGGCGATTTGGAGGTCATGAGAAAGAAAGAAAGACATTAGAAACAATAGTATCAAATCGTTCAGCTGTGGCATGCTTTCGAAGCCCAGCTGCCATGCGACTCGAAGAAGGCACGGGGGATGAGATATTGCCAGGTTGCTCAAGCCTAGACAGGGAAAGTCGGGATCGGAACCATGGACCTTCCGATCAGCAAATTCGCCCTATAACCACTGATCCACCTCTTCCCAGAGACATTGTGTTTTAAGCGCGTAAAATCCTCTCACTGTTCCAGAGGACTTTCTGGAAACTGTGATCTACGTGTGACTAGTTTTTTCACTGTGTTTCATCCACCATTCATTCTTGATCTTAGGCAAGTGTTCCTTGGAAACCCTTCTTAGCCTTGGGAATTACTCATGGGCACTGCATTCTTCCGTTGAACCGTGAACGAAATCACGGTGTCACTTTCAGCAAGACCGTTCATTCTACACTGATTTCAGTTCCATCCAGTACAGCTTCACAAATATGCATTTCTATTCAGCAACCTCTGTTGAGCTGGATCCGAGTAACACTTGAACAGCATCTTTTGAAGTTTCGTCACACCTGCTGAATCCTTCAATTTTCCGACGTCCAGCCGCACATACTGTGCTCCTGTTCCACGACAAAGCAACTTTCTAAAAGCGACGGGTTCCTTCACCTGCTCCGTGCTGGATCCAGCACTCCGCACCACTTCTGCAGGCCGAATGTCTTTGGGATCTTTTTATCGGACAGTGACATAGTTAATAAGGTATCCGTGTCTAACTTGTCTAACTTGCCGACAAGTCCAAATAGCTACTGCGGTTTTTCTGTGGGTAAACCACGTATTAGTAATTGCAAACTCCAGAGCTTAATACACAGCCATTTCGTTTATTCGTTCAACTCCAAGTGGCTCCACTATCTTACTCCAGGTTCCAGAATTTCACTGTTGGCTGGTTAAAGATCAAAACGGCCAACCTAGCGAATCAAATGTGTCGCAGATTTTCGAACGTCAAAATTCATACAGGAGGATCACTGAAAAGTCCTGATAGAACCGAATACTCCTACTCGTCATCTCTAGCCCTTACTTCTAACATGCATCAAAGATGCGCAGCTCTGTCGTAAGAATCTCTACCAAAAAATTGACGGCGTGGCGATGGGATACCACCTCGGACCACTTCTGGAAGATATCACTATGGGACATCTGTATAATACTTAACTGTATCTGGCTACATTTTATTAGCAGTTTATGTAGACTCACAGGGTGCATGAATATGAGACCAACCTAAAACAGAAGCACGTCACTTAAGAACAGTTTGGTCATTCTTCCAAGAACGACCTAGTTTTGTCGGGCAAACGCGACTTTGGCCGCCGCTAGCCTGGTATACATAGAATCTAGTGAGCGAAATCGTTTCCTGATTAGGTGACTTTTGGCTCTCTTCCTATTCATGTCCCGGAATGCAAAGAGGTTTATTTCTCTCAACTCCACTGAACGTCGCGACAACCAACGTATTTGGTAGCTTTCAAATCACCACTGTTTTAACGGTGCCTCTTACTGAACCTGTGCGGTGAAGTACTAGGGCGTGACCTTGTTCGGTAAACTTGATTGGTCTCTACACACCCAAACCGCCTTTAGCAGACACCCGGGTTTGTATTCTTTCAGACTGAGAATGTCTTTCTCTCAATCTGGTCTATGGTTTTTTTTCATTGCTTGTACCTTTCCCCACTGTATTTACCGTTCCCCTCTTCTTTTCATGGGGCTACTCAAGAAGGATTTCAGTCATGTTTCCAGATTGCAGTGGATTGTCAGGTAGAGCTTGATCGATTTTATGATAAGCATGCAACCTGATGCTTGTTAATGACGTTTTCACTCTCCTCAACAATCATCAATTACGCGACAAACCTGCATCCGCCTTCTGGTTTAGACCAAGAAACGCTGAGCTTTCAGTTTATTTATCTCCCTATGAATATAAAATTGTTCTACAATTCTGTGAGTGATACGTCATAGTTTTGTAGGCCGGAAATTCACATTGAGGCGCATAAAATTTCACTTAACTTGATGCGACAGAACATAAACGACATTTTACGTGTCTGTTGTAAGATTGTGTTGGTTAGTACCGTCCATATTCCACGTGTCCTACGGTGTGGAGGAAGCTACACTGACCGATGCAGTGATACAATGAATGACAGCAACCAACCTTCCCGGCTTGGGTAATAAACAGGGTGGAAAATTTAGCTTAGTCCACCTCACGTGACAGACCGGGAGAGGTTTGCTCGGGCAAACGACAGTCACGTGGCCACACCCATTCATTCGAGAAATCGGTAGTTGGAGGATAAAAATGCCAAAGTCGAGCAGTCGGTGGATGGTTCAACAGGTGAAATGGGCAACAGAAATTGTACCGGAAGGTTTCACTCAAAAGTTGCTAACTAGATAGAGGATGCTGGTCAACTCATTTCCAAAGAAGCCAAGACGGATAAGAGTATAAAAATTACCACCTAAACTAAGGGCTTGTTTGGCACGAAACGGATGAACACTACTCTGGCGTTATCCCGATTTGCGACTAGATTACTGTTTTAGGGAACAGTGGGTATCGACGTAGAATAGATTTCACACCTAAAGAGGGCACTCGTTAGAGAAAGTTGGATTGAAAGTTACGGGCACGTCAAATTCGTAAGGGTTGCATCAATCACCCTGGAGCGAAGAACATGTAATGGTACAAAAGGACGCGAAAATGCGTCATTTTCGAATGACTCACAGTCCATCTAACTGACAGATGGATCATCTGAAAACCATCCGTCAATCCGCTAGTACTACACCTAGAAAAAGATCATTCAGCTGAGGGGTGAGGCAATAATAACCAGTGTTGATCTCATAGCCGAACTCAACTAATGAAACCGAAGACATTAGTTGGAATTTCACCTAGGATGTATGAGATACATGACGGGTAGTCATCAATAAGGACATAATACAACCGCCAAGTACTTCCCCGCTTTCTAACATAGGCTGACTTCTTTCAACACAACAAATCGATACTGAATTCTGAGAAATATATCCAAGCAAGTGTATAACTGCAAAGCATTATGTCCATGAGAAAACTGAGATAAACAACTACTGACTAGTGAAAACGCGTTGAACCAGTAAGACTCACGCCAATTTGTCTTCCGCTGCATAATCCGGAGTAACGGGATGAGGGCGCTTTGTCACTCGATTGACTTCATTGTGTAGTCCTTCGAGAACGTAGCGTAGAAATTCTTGGGAATCTTGCTGCCTAAAATTGACCACCGAAGAAATATTGGACTAGTTTCTGTACAAGAACCAAAATAAGGCGAACCTATTTCACAGTAAGCTTCCTCTCAGCCATCATAGTGATCTCTCGGTTGGTCGGTCCAACCAAACTACCGTTTGACCTCATAGAAGGTGAAAAGGCACATCAATCGGTCTCAAAGGTCGCTTGTACCAGGCAACAGTAAGGGCTATATTGTTTTGAGGTTGCCAGACTTGGCCTCCACGGACAGATGTGAGACGCCTTCGGCTTTTGACCACCGATGTCTCAGCAACGTTGCTGTATAGAGTCAACGAATTCATAACGAGGTAAAGAGGAAACGGGTATTTGGAAAAACAAGCTCATCTGCAAATCAATTTGGTTTTCACACGAAGCTTAACTGAATCTCTCGTTTATAATATTCTTCAACTGAATGTCACAAACGAGTCTCCCGTGAAAACCAAATTGATTTGTTAATGGGTGTATTTGTCGAAATCAGTCCAATTGAGGCTCAAGTAAAACATTAGGTTGACGGAAACTCGGATACTGTACCTGCCTGATGAGCCCCAAGAAGGGCGAAATCGGTCGTAGGCTGTCGAAGAGTTTTCAGCAACCTTGTGCGTAGTTTCTTTTATGAAAACGCGTATTTGGTTGTGCAGTTGGCACTTAAGTTGTGGAAAACACCCAGCATCATCGACTAAGGTGCCTCGGTCATGTACTACATGTCTATCAAGATGAGTGGTGTTCACCGTTTCTCCTTCAGAGTGCCACAAACTGTGAGACTGACAACGTTCGAATTGGCAAAAGGGTGTGAAAGAGCTTACGGAGAGCTTAAGTATTGTTGTTGCAGTCTGCCTCCTAAGATGCGCTCCCAGTGACCCACTCTGCGCTTGGCTGGAGACTACAAAGATTGGCGGCTGATTGGTTTCAGTGGCATTCGTGTTGTGGGTTTTTTCCCCAGGTGTCCTGATTGAGCTCATGAGAGTATAAGCACCTCAGAACACTTGCAGTAGGCTAGCACCAGGTCCCACCCTCATCCACTCTTGTCTCTTTTTCTACACAATAACGCCAGCTTTATTTTCCACTAACTCGGAATTAGGCGAATCCGGTGAAGCGGTGCTGCTTTCCAACAGTACGTTCGGTGTGAACTTACTGTGGGTTACAACAGGTCTCGAGAACGTGGCATGGTGACTGAATGTGTCAACCTAGATTTAGTATATCACAGTTTGCATCAAATATGATTGCTGCAAGCCCGGATGGTGATTCATGAGTCGACACCGAAAAAACAGAGGAACAAAATCACGGTTAGGATGCGCTGTTTACAGTTGCTTTCGCTTCTTTCTGTTGACGTCGGGTTTCGACGAATTTGACCTCAAAAAGGACTCAATACATGAGTGGAGTTATAGGATCCGAGCGAAAGGTATCATTTACACATGCTGTATGGCAATACCTTATTCTCGTAACTTGGGGGAGAGCACATACGGTCTCCGGAAATATCAGCGTAAAGCGAAACACAAAAAGAAAGTCTCAGTATGCAAACATGACCGGCTGGAACTTACGAGTAACCCACGAATCGGGGCGCAAACCGCTGGATTTGTGTTTTAAATTGCATTGGACTGGTGGAAGATTCGAACATCTCTGGATCCCAAAGCTCATTCATCAAAGAGGCGTAGGCTTTAATCATACGGGAGTTGGTCGGATGGATATGAAAGGAAAACGAGATCTCGTAAGACTGATCAGAATGGAATGATGGCATGTGTATAACAAGGTAGAAATGATTAGGTGGGTTCGTAACGCACTATTCAGAACCAAAATTGTTTGTAAATGGGTGTATTTAGCTAATTTCGTGCAATTTGGTTTCAAGTAAGACATGAAGTTGACGGAAACTCGGGGGCCGCGCCTGCACGATGAGCCCCAAGAAGAGCAAAGTCGGTCGTGGGCTGCCGAAGAATTTTCAGCAACCTTATGAGTAGTGCATTACGAATACACATGTATCGCGATATCTCGAAACGTGCCTGATGCAGCACATTCATTCGCCTGGAAAAATCACGAACGAGAGATTCAGCTTGGTTCCAGGTGAGTCTCTCGCAAAACCAAATTAGTTTGCAAATGAGTGTTTTTCGCTGATTAGTGGGTTGTTTATCCCTTAGGCATGCGGTTTGAAAATAGCACCGATTCACGCTTTCATATATATGTCATATACATGAATCAGAGTGTGTTTTGCTGCACCTTTTTAAGCTGAGAGTAGTAAGATTTTACCATCTGATGTTTGACTTCTCGACGGACTAGAACCGGTTTGTCGCCTGTTGAACAGGTGTGACACAAAGCAGCTTCTTCAACTCCGAAGAACCTGCTTTCAAAAAGTGGACGAAATTTCCCATAAACGAGATGCTGCACAAAAGAGAACCCATCATAAAATCTACGGAGATTGCCTTGTCGTTGAAGCACCCTCGTCGGGCGCATGTACGTGAAAGATGGATCACGGCAAAGTCCTACGCTACATGTCCATCGCGCTGCATATGATGTCAAATCCACAGTACCTGCCTATAAGCATATTTAAGGTTAGCAAAATGCCCCCAGTACCTCAGTCGCATCGCCTCAGAGCAAGGGAATGGTCAGAGCCCCGGCCCCGAGTCCTCAAACCACGATAGCGATTGAATGTTTTTTGGCTAGTCAGGCCTAGAAACGACCTGCTCAAAGGTGAACACATTAGAATACGACATGGGAATCAGGCAGCAAACATTGGACCAAACGATGAAACTTTGGGCAGCGTCATGAAAATTAGTGACCGCATTGATTTTCTTCCGGATGTTGGCCTGCTGAAAAACTTCGGACCCCAAAAGTACATTTAAAGATGCTCCACAAGCAAATGAAGTGTGACTGAGTTGCCTTGAAATTATACGAGACCAGTAGAAAGCGAGGTTGTGTCGGAAATCGGGTTCATACAAATGGTAGATGTGGCGATTGTCCAGATAGTCTCTGAACGGTTCACCGAGCTCGAACTGTCAATATATCGACACATTGATGAGCGGTAGATTGCGCTGAACAACTTAGTGCAAAACTCCTCAGAGTAAGGACCAACAGTGAATCTTTGTGTGTACAGGGGGCTTAACTCGAAGGCTCACGCTTCTACGCTAGCTGAAGGCTAGCTGATTGGATTCCTTAACCAAGACGGCGACGATCTGTAACCAGCATCATCCAAGAAATTCTAAGAGTTCTTTCTTGCAGAAGAAGTCGCCGTTCTTACGGAACAACATCTTAGTACCTTTGGTGTGGGCTAACCGGAGAGCTCAAACCAAGACACGACGACCAGTCAAGAGCCTGTGAAGTGGATCAAATTTATATAGCTGTGGGCACTCCGTCAAATACCCTGAGAGCAAAGAAAACCGCACTCAATAGTGACAACAAAAACTTCGAAGGAACAGGTCACGTCTGTATCAACTCACCCGTAAATAGGTTTCCGCGCATAGTGCTGGATTTGTTTAGGTCATTCACGTATCGTTCGGATATGCAATATTCTAGCAACGGATGAGTGTTGCTCAAACACTGGATTATGGAGTTCATGAAACACTGAAAAAGAGTTGGGAAAGCGGGACAGAGATATGAAAACTAACTCGATAACCTTTTGGACGTGACAATCCTGGGAAAGTCTGCGTTAACCCTGCGTGCTTGAACTATGGTCAACGGAACGTAAGACGACCAACTTTTACACACCGGGCTGGACAGATACAAATGCGATTAAGGTAACATTGGTTGTTCTCTCACCTGATAAAAATTATCGATGTTGTAGAGGTACGCTACAACTGACTTCATAAGCAACAGCGTACGAAAAGAAACTGAAAATGAAGCACCAGACAGTTCTCATGAGCCTGGAAAATTAAAAGGCTTCTTCTGTAGGACTCGGTATTATTGCACCGGTAACTGCCTACAATGGATTCGCAAACCAGGAGATATCATCACCCAGTTGCACTAGTGATAATCTCCTGGCAATGAGACTTCCGGCTAGGAGACAATCTGGGCTCCATTCCACCTCCAGAGGCGAAGTGTTCTGGTTTCACAGTCGTCCGTTGCACTATCCTACACCAGCAATCCATGTTAACGTTGGACGACTAATGTCGCATTCAGGAGTGGCACACCAGCCCACCACACAAGCGACTGGATTTGAGCTGGCTTGGTAGTTTATCTAACTCGCTAGCTGGAACCCATTACAGCTGGAGGAAATAAAGTTGGATTTCATACCCGAAATTTGTCATGATTTTGGCTGTACTACAAAAAACGTTATCGCGATACTTTTATACCTGTCCGGTCGTAATGGCTAGATAACAAGGATGGATGATCAGCCTGCCGGTTGTTCCCAGCTACACACGTGCCTTAGCCACAGACATGCAAGAGACAGGTATAACTAGGGCTCATAGTCCGAATACGGCGATCTGGTCAGTGGAATTCTCGGAAAAGTATCAAAATACTTTGATACGACCAAATGTTGACTGGACTGCCGTAGAAGGCATGCGATGGGTCCTGTTTAATCAGGGTTAACACGTAAAACAACACTGGCAAGGAAAACATTTTGCCATGCCTCGAGCGTAATTCGTCGAGAAATTAGCAAAGTACACTTTGGATTTTGCGTAGTAGCAATTAGTTTACGGCACCAACCAGTATACCGTAGTAGAGTATTGGTACGACCAGCTACTGACAGAGTGGGAGAGTATAACTCGAGCTGTGAGTGCTCCGGATGTCTGGGAATATCCAAACAGGCAGAAAACCGGTGATCATGAAAACGCTTCTGAAGGTCAAGATTTCAGTGACGTAACGTTGGAGATGATAACCTCTAAGTACTCGCTTTGGATATCGGGACATCAAATCATGAGTGCTGAGCGAACAATTCTGATATTGTACAGATATTAGGTGGGTTGAAATTTTTAAATAAGGCTTTGGATCAGAACATTCGTAATGCGTCTCGTCAATGCAGCAACGGCTCTTTCTCAACCAATAAATAAATAAGACATCTGCGGAAATTTTGCATCCACTCTTGTTGGATAAGGGTGAGAAGCAATGAAAATTTTACCTCTCTGCTCACATCAGCCTTTAGACAATGATGGCCGAAGAATGAAGCAGAATAGCCTGACTATTTTATGCACACTAACGCCATGCTGATTGTGGTGAACTCTTTTCCTCACACTGAAAGACAGCTCCGTTAAGCAGCGGGAACTCGTTTCAACTCCCAATAGCGTCTGCTCTGTGCAGGCAAACTGCTCAACCATTTATCCCCTGGTTGTTCCCACAAGAAGTAGAGCTTCGGTTAGTTAGAAAATAATGGGATGAAAATATCTAAATGTGAAAGAAAATGCCCACTCTGAAGCTGATGCAACAACGTCTAGTTCAACTTTACCGAAACATCCAAGTGTCCGAAAACTGTGGCAAAAACGGAGTGAGGCGTGGCGGAAATGGTCGTTTCCTCAGAAGCCACGGATAAATATTGCTGGCCTGAGAATTCTCAAGTAGGCAGACGAGTTCATGGAAAAAACTGAACGTAAAAAATACCGGTGTCAGATTTCATGTTGTAGCCGAGCGGAATATGTGGATAGCAAACTTTTGTTCAGTCATCGCATAGAACACTGTTTGGCTGTGTGTGAATGCTACCGGACCACGCCGTGAATAGACGCTCAAATACGCTCTCACGAATTTCGCACTTTAACAGTCCAGTGATAACACTTGAAATTCGCTTCCAGATTATCCATCACGATGTGACCTACCACTACAAACGGATCCACAGAGCGTGTGCATTCAAGACGAAGTGGGGAATATGGGAAAACTCCTCCACGAGAAGACACTCGATCGAGAGGACGACTCTGTGGGCATAATTCCTCCCTTTGCTGCCTCCTCGCTCAGGGAGATAAACTTCGCAAAAGTGGGCAAGAGTCAACTTCTGGTTCGGTAAACGGTTGGCTTGTTTTCCGAAAGAGGACACCATGATGAAAGTGCTCCGCGCCATATTTTTTAGCTAGAATTCATGTATCCGTTGCATAGACAAACTGCTTGAATTGATGGATAATTAAACCTCACGCAGGCACACAGCATCGTTTGTCGAAATACCGTGCAGCTGACGTACTGATAAAACGAAGTAACGCACGGAAATTCGATATTTTTCGAATTTCGTCGCTGCATACGAACACGTTTTCGTATAATCTGTCAATCACTTGAGGAATTGCTCAAATGCCACTGAACCGGTGTATAAGCCGGTTCATTTCAGCCATTCTTCTTAGGGAGAAACAATCCTGTCATGAAGATACTTTGAATCTGTCCAAGAGAGTTCACACATTTGGCACATGTGTAAGGAAGCAAAACTGCTGTGTACAGATAGCTACATTCCAGCCGACCTAAAGAGGAGTGACGGTTAACCAAGGTGTGCTACGTTAGCGGGAAACTCATGAGACAGTAAACAGACATCACCTGAAGCTGCTACAATCAAATGTGGCCGATGACGAACGGTTCTCTCGGCATGCGGCTGTCTGTACACTCGAACTCTCCAAAAAAGGACCTTGGCGTTAAACAAACACTTTTACGTAGAAACCTGTAGCTAGCGCAGCTGTTCTCTCTTTGGAAACATCACTCCTCAGCTGCCAAAAGGCAGCTAGTCTTTTTAGAGGTACTAATTACTATTCTAAATATGCGTTTGACAACAGCACAAAGCCAAAAAACGTGAAAATTGGGAGGATATCGTTACAATAACGTACACTTACTGATAAGTGGAAAAACAACGCACCCATATATATTTGGAAACCTGAAGAGTTTGGTTGTTAAAACTCGAAGACAATAAAAACGAAATCAACGTATGCAAAACATGCCGATGGATCCAGTATTCCGAATAGTCCGACCATTCTCGATCGTTCACAGAGCTTAGACTCAGTTTGAGACTAGCAAACACATGCTAGCAACAAGAAATTAGCCTAAGGATACGGCATAACGTAAACAGTGCCGTCCACGAGACAAGTGGAACGATTAAGTGGCGGGCAAGGTAAATTAATACAAGCGTGGTGCGTGTTTAGCACTGTCCAATGACGTGGCTGGATTCATGATATCCAAATGGGACTTCATTTTACATTAACTGTCTCATGCACATTCCTAGTACCGTAAAATTTGTCCGCGACGCTAGGTAATTAGGTACTGTCAAGGTCACTTATTATTAACAAGGATAACAAGATGATTCCACCATCGATGGACGGCGAGAGCAGTTTTGTTGCCGAGCTACACTGATCGCCAAACGGATGCACATAGGCCGTCAACCGCGAGTATGAACATGGGGACTGGTAGTACATTCGTGCGGATTTTCAAACAAACATCCGGCAGTGAACTTCGCTTAACTTTTCACCAGAAACCTTCTGTAACCCAGATGTGTCATGCGTTGGACTTCTAAAGGGGTCTTATGTATGCTTCAAGCTATCGTTACAAACCTAGATACTCCGTATTCTGCCGCGCGTCACCTGCCTGCACTTTTTCACTTAGGATCGCATCATAGAAGGGTACCAAGCGTGAAGCAAAATTTAGCCACCACCACTAACAGGAGCGATCGTCAATTATTATCGGAGAAATCGTGCGAATCGATCGCTCAGCTGCAACACCCTTTCGATGCCTAGCAGCCACGCTACCCGAAGAAAGCACGAGAGCTGGGATACTGCCTGGTTGCCCAAGCCTAGACAGGGGAAGTCGAGAGGCAGAGGTTGGGTTCGAACCACGAACTTTCCGGCCAGTAGATTCGCGGTCTAATCACTTGAGCCATCGTCAGCAACAGTTTACAAGTTGTAAGCAATAATTCATTTTGACAATCGAATTTCCTATGAATGAAATTTTCTCACAGCAGTGCTGTTTAGCTCTCTGCTGTGCAAACTACGTAACCTTTGTACGAAATACTGAGAATACCCATACTGCAGACCTTGACGTGATATACAAGGCTGAAAAGAACGGAGCGCAAAACGCAAGGCGCTAGGACCTTCGGAAACACTCTGGAGAACCTAATGTATGCGAGAATGAAACCGTTAATTACGGATGTGAAACAGTACACAAACTACCAATCAGAGTTTGAGTTAGCAAACGCTGACCAAAGTCGTACGTGTGTATATCTAGTCCTAAATTCACCTAAAGAATGAAAAAATCAGGCTTACCGTGTTTCCCAAATTGTTCAATCCAACCAGTCCGCCATTGGGATGAACACAGTGATTTCCGGTTTGGATAGGTTTTGCGGGAAAAGTTGACGACGGGCTGGTGCGTGATACATTAGACCACCGGGGAGCACTGCTGTTGTTACTACTGTTGCTTGTCTCTGTTGAACTGCAAGGTTCGGATGACAGGTGATTTAAGTGCGCTGTAGAGGAAGGGAGCTCATCGCAGATCGACAGCGCAGACTCAGCTGCTGATGACTGGCCCTCACCGCCTTTGCAACCAGACGAGGACCACTTTGTCCTAGCGGCCACCGGAGGAGGGGACGTTGGCGGAGTTGCATTATAATGATTGTCGTTGAGATTCAGTGTGGCCAGTTCGGATGACGCCGTACGGTCAATTTTCGATCTTAGGTCTCTTTGATCTTCAACCGAGCGCGTGGTCAAATACTTGGAAAAGTCCAGTGAGCAGTTCGAAGACTAAAAGGAGTAAAAATAGACCCAGTGTTAACAATCAGTCTCGCGGGAGATTGAGATATGAACGGTGATGTGGGGGGCAGTTAGCAGCAACAATGGAGGAAATGATTGGTTGGTATGTTCTAGGTAGTTAAAAGAGTATGAACATGGATGTGTGAGATAAGCACCAAGAGACCACGCCAATGGCAGGGAACACAACACCAGATTCAAGCATGAGAAGTTAGTAACGAAAAGCTGGCATTGTTTGAAGTACCAAACATAGTGATGAACAGCTAGATAGCTTCTGAAAGTCAATCTAGCTGATAATGTGAGCTTTCTTTCGCTATGTGTCACCCTTTATGATACGTTACCGAAGGCAAAAAACGACTCAGACTTAGGGTGAATGAGGGCAACAACGGATCCGTTTAAACTCAAATAATTGTCTCAAGCAAAAACTGAGCACAACAGTCTAGATTACCGCTGCGAAAATGTGTCTGGAGCATTAAATAGAGGGTGTCCGTTTCCATTGCCCCTGTCTAGGTCTGGGCAACCTAACATTACGTCATCAGTCGTGCTTTCCTTCGAGTTGCACGGCAGTTTTGCTGTAAGGAGGATCAAAGCTGAGTGACCACTATTTTTTACCGTTTAGAGACATAGAATACTCCTATCTGTCATAGTTACCATAAAGTTAACACAATGGGGTGAGAGTCAAGAGATGGCCGTAGCGTAACAAGAGGGATGTATAGCGTATAAATAATCGCTGGATGCTACTACACACATTATTCTGATAATTTTTATGGCCGCATGAGATTTTTGCTATTCTGCATCATGAATGAATCCGTAGTTCTAACGAAATAATACGTTCTTCCTTCTTATTGACCCATCTCCGCCCATCTGAAAGTCTTTAGGCCATCTTATGAATCAAAAACTTTACCCCAATAATTTCTAACGTAGAACGGAAATTTCAGATGTGATTCAGTTACGCAGTGGCTGAACATCACACACCTGCCAGTTTTAAGAAAGTAAAACGAAAACACGCCAACTCATCTGTCACAAAGTTTAACGAAGTTTGAACAAAAGATCAAAGCTTGCCCTTCGCGATGATTCTCTATGCATTCAACATGCATCATTAGGCGAGTAAATATTGAATGAATCAGCCATAAAGAAAACGCGTTAAGCGGGCGAAGACGTCTAATGCACCATCAAGTACAGACCATGCATTTCGTGACAACCCCTTCAACTGAAGCTGATCTGTCTTAAACAGAATTATATCATCAGCGTTTAACCATTATCAGAAGAACTACCACTGATTAGGTAGCATGTTTCTCGCTACACATTACTTACTTCGTTAGTATCGCCATCAGTACTACCAAGCCATATTAACGCAGTAACGGTGCGATTTCTAAACGCTCCATATAGTGTTAGCAAAGAAGCCTAGTAGACAGCTCAGTGATGTTCTACCTATTTTCGCACTTACCGCTGTCAACGAATTGCTACTGCATCAGGTTAGAATGGATGAAACGTCTTGATGTTATCATCTCTTTCGACTTGACAAGATACATACGTGATGACACTTTTCTCCAAAATCATTAAATTGTTATATCATACGGAGAATAACGTGGACATAGCTAAGGTGGTTGCCAGAAATTGTGCACAAGGCCCTAAAAATTACTTCATGCTGTTTAGACATCGTTTTCAGCGTCCTGACATATTAGCATCGAACAATGCAGTCGGTATTTATCAGCTTCCCGCACTATCTTACAAAGTTTTCTCCTAAGGGCCTAAACTGAAAAAACATGACGCTTGTACAGAACTTCTCAAGGCAGTCCTCGGTGACGTTTTAAATTGTTACATTTCTCTAAAACCATCCTGCGCATAACAGTTGTGCATTCTCACGCAACTGTGTGGATCTCTGTCTTTGTCGTTTACTGACCCGAGAGCTATTCATTTAGAGTCGAACTTTCAGAACTAAAATGTGGACCATCTGTCCTTCAGCGTACAGCACTTTATCCCGCAAAGTAGATCTGGTTTCTTTCTTCCGTTTGCTTTGTTTTCAGTTTTATTAAACGCACATATACGTAAACCATACATGTGTGTACACGCTTTATATACGTGTATGTAAGATATCCCGGAAATAACAGATCGCATCTAAAGCCCCACCAACAGTGACGAAAGGACAGACTTTCGTGTTTCCTTCGTTTTTTGTCTTGTCAACCTAAGCGTCATTCTCAAAATAGCCAACCCCCTCCCTAAAAAACAATGCTGATCGATCCTTGAATTACCTGAACGTCGCATCTGACGTAGCTGATACCTGTTCATGTATACTCAAACATAATATGAGTTCACAATCTTACATAAGAGTTGCAGTATTGAAGTTTTTGAAAAGGTTTTCAATACTTTCTGCCTTGGTGTGCTGCTAGTAAGTCGTTTGTCACAAACTTAATAGAGCGATAACTGATTCACTTTAATTGTACGTTTTTGTATGCTTTCGGACTAAGATTGGAGCTTGAAACTTGGGGAATACAACAAAAGTCAGATGGCTGCACCCTAGGTCCAACAACTGTTAGGGAGATTTTCACTTCAGAATAACACACGGGGCTCGTTACTACAGCCCGACTATGAATCTGCCAGAATCCAAACACTAACCACCGTGGTTCGAAAGCATCAAATCCGAATAAAACGAATCACAGAATCTGCATGGAACCAAAAAATTTGTTTCATGTCTTTGGCTTCATATCTCATCGACTCATTAATTTAGTGATTCTAAAGAATAGCTACGAAAATTCCTATGCCTAAATCTAGCAATCCACGCCGGGTGCGCAGGCACACATGTACACGGTCCATTACAGCAAGACGGAACATCAAACAGAGCAAGGCAGAAACGATGCAGTTAACAAAACGGCAGTTGGAAAGTTAGATAACCAGTGGTATTCTTTGTGATCAATCTTTGTTCATAACAGACAAGTGAGTAGTGAATGCTGTGGATGATAAATGAAGCAACCCTCTATTCAAAAAAGGATGTTTAGATAAATCAGAGTGATAAGCCGAGCAGTCACACCAACCATGCATGAGTCCGGTATAGGATGTTTATTCGCTTACCATTGTGCGAGAACAACATACCTCGAATCGGTGTATTAAGGATTTAACCTAGGAAAGGACAGCGGTAGATTCGAACCACTCACTGAGCTTCCGGTTCACTTGCACATCGGAAGATAACTTATGGTTTGGGCTTCCAAAACAGAGCAGTCGATGGTAATAATTCCCCCATGCAGCAGAATCTAGTCAACACTAGTACCAAACCCAGAACTTGGTGTATGCTAACACAAGTTAGCTAAAAAAATACTTTAAAACACAATAAAACCTGTGATGCACTTCCCCCACTTGTTGAAATATTTATTGCCATGCTATCGTCAACAGCAATACGACAACAATGGAAGCCGGCGCCATCATATAAGCGTGAAACAGCATATTTAAGATAAAAAATAGCGATTGGAAATGTTAGATGAGAAAACGCAAAACGGTCAAACAAAGACCGAAGAAAATGGCTGGAGACTTGGTGTTCACAGTCCTATACAGCAATGATAAGCAGCCTCAAAGCGTATCAGATTAGACTGGATTGCGTAGCACTTTTTGCAAACTAGGCCTGCCTCAAGCCAAGCAGCAAGTCTAACAGAGCGGTCAAGAAGTGACATCTTCACCAGAGTTCCTTTGCTTGATATATCCCTTAGGGTTTATGACGACAAACAGAGTTACTCACGTGGACCCCAACCAGGTGTTCGCAAACTCAAATGGACTACCTGGCTGCTGCGCTCCTGTCTTGCGCTACAGTGTTCCGCACAAACCGCTTTGAATGAGGGTTTGAAAGCAAAACATACATTGGTGATCTGTTGTTTGGCATGCCGAGCAAATAACCCATCAGTTTAATTCGGTAAGTCACTTGCTGTTCTAGCTATTCCGATTTACTGCCATGTACTGTCTTAGGCATCATGCTGCTGCGGATATGCTATGCTTGGCTAATTCGTGCTTTGCTACGGACGTATCGGTGGTAAAACGCCTGAAGGTATTTGAATTCTTCAGCTCGGAGATACGTGTTATATGAGATTGTTCTGCGATCAGACAAGTAGCACTTGTGATAGCAACGCCAGATGAGAATAATGATGCTTCAGTGCCAAACAACCATGTTAACTTATTTAAATAAAGCCGTATAGTGAAAATAAAACTGAAAAAAACGATGGCTAGAGCCACCCTGCTACAAGCACCTAGGCTACTCATCCCCGAAAATTCCCTATAAAACGACAACGGAGACAACCAGCAATACTCTCCTGCGATTTTGCAAGCGCAGCAATCATGTGACCCTTACTGCGAAGGGCGTACATCAGGGACATTTAGACTCCACAAGCTCCATCATTCACTTGTAGTGAATCGCACGCTGTCCAACACAAGAATAATAGTGAGAGTTTGGAATGGTGAGGTACTTTCCCCTTAGTAGAAGATAGCTCCGCATGTGTCGCACAGGAAGTTCTAGCTGGTCATTGTTCCGACAAACACCCACATCATAGTCACCTCACAACAAATTTGTTGGCGGAAGTTTACTGTAAATATACTTACAAGAGGTGGACAACGATTACGCAAAAACAGAAGCGTATCACCAGCATATAAACTACGAAGTACCTTATTCACTGATGATCTTAAGATATGGAAACCTATTGAGTGTGACGAAGACCGAGTGGCTCTTCAGCATGACTTAGAACGTCTGGTGGCCTGGTCCTCTGAAAGGAGGCTTCCGATCAACCCGGCCAAATCAGAATACATATGCCTGGGAAAGCCAGGTTCAGGTCGTGTATATCATCTAGATGGCCAAAAATGGAAATCGGTCTCATCAATCCGAGACTTGGGCGTTCAAATCCGTTATGATTTAAAGTCGAAGGACCACACGAGCGCTGTGTATAAGAAGTCTCTTCGCATTTTGTGGGCATTGAAGTGAATTTTTTCGACGTGGATGGTAGAGTTAGTTTTGAAACTGTATCCCACCATGATCTGGCCTATATTGGAATACGGTGCACCAGCTTTCTCCCCACTTACGAAAGCCGAAGCCAGAAAGCTCGGACGTGTCCAACACCTCGTTACAAAGATGGTTCCCAGTCTGCGGAGTCTTTCTTATTCTGAGAGATGCAGCAAACTGAAATTGTTCACACTTGAATACAGACGTCTCCGGATTGATCTCATCTATGTTTTCCTTGTTTTGTGCCCAAACCATTTTCCGCAGTTGATGTTCTTGTTTGAGATTCCAACAACCAACATCACCCGAGGACATCGATTTAAACTTACTGTCACACGCTTGGAAAATGTGCCTCATGGGTACAGTTTCTCTTGCCGCGTTGTGTCATTTTGGAATCGTTTACCGGAAAATGTCGTTCAGTCAGAAACAGCTCAAATTTTCAAACGTAATTTGGATGAACATTTATCTGATCTATGATTCTGTGAGGATATCTCCTCCGCTCTGGTCCCGAAAGTCAGCTATTCCACTAGCGGACAGAGGGCGTACATGGAATGATATTCGCATTTTTTCGATGGAGTGTACACAGAATTTTTCTTTTGCTCCAAATATATGATTCTATATGATTCTATGGGATAAAAGGAAATTACATCGGAACACAGTATATATGAATCACTCACAGCGTTGATGCCATCCGTCTGAGGTTTCAAGGAATACTCCCGAATATTTCGGTGTCTGTTTGGAGAATAGAGCTTGTGATTGCTACTCATATCGCCAAGGCCGTTCTCTTTGGCTCTAGACCATGTTGGGTAAGAATCTCGGTGGATTGTGGGTTTAGACGTTAAATTCAGCAACCCTTTTGATTCCGAATGGGTTAAATTTGGAAGGTTTGTCATTCTTGAAATCGGGATGGAAGTGGTATTAGTTCGGCGGAGAACTGAGGGTGAATGAAATGTGTAAGAGCTCCGAGAATACCGCGTCCCATATACTGGTTTTTCTCCACATGAACGTAGGTTACCCAGAAAATTTACAGACTCTATAACATTGTATAACGGGGACTGCGTTTACCATTGTGGATGGGCCTCGAAAAATGTCTCTTTGAGACAAAAGACAGACATGTGGATGTATTCCCTGAGTACTCTTTTCTCCGCTGGCCATAAATGTCGAGTGAAGTACTCATAGATGGAATAAACGCGGTGCCCTGAAAGCAATAATTCACATCAGTAATCCAGTTTATTCAGCATATCAACCCTGGGGAAAACAGAAACCAACCATATAGATACGTACACCATTGGAAGGTACCGCGTTTACAACTGTGATCCATTTTTAGTGACTCACTAAGGTGATGATATAGACAAACAAGCGACGATATGCATAGTGAGTTTAGTTGCTGTATGGTAGAGTTGATGGTCGGGAGCTCACAGGATTAGATCGATTAGTACGAAAAATGTTCATTTTTACGTAGGTAGTTTGAATTAATGGTTTCAGCGCTGGTGACCTTACTGTCCGGTGCTGAGAATGTAAGCGGGTAATTATATGTACACCGCATAGTTGGTTCGGGTTGCGTTGCCTGGAAATGTGGTGATATTTTTAGTGAAAGTAGACTAGCGTTGGCAACTCATTGGTGGCCCAGTGTCACCAGACTGAAAGAAGTTCAGAAGGCGGCATCTATTATTTTCGTTGTAAAATTTGAAACATTTAGGTGGTACTTTTATTTCGGGAGAAAACCGACACACCGCTACAGTTTTCTAACAGAATGAAGGCTGGGTATAGTCAGAACAGTTATAGCAACCGGTAGATACGTATCGGCCCTTGGAATTCTTCGCCATTTTAGCGGCATTACCGGAAGATTCTGACATGCACGAAAAGTGGTGGGAGTATGAATCTTTTCGATGCATCACAGAAGAAAGAAGAGCAGGATTAGTGCTTCTGTGGCAAGTCAGTGGACTGGAAGTTGGGTAAAGCAACTTCGAACGCACTAGTATCCCTTGGTTGATCACAGAAGAAGAAGAGCAGGATTAGTGCTTCTGTGGCAAGTCAGTGGACTGGAAGTTGGGTAAAGCAACTTCGAACGCACTAGTATCCCTTGGTTGACTGGAAAAAATTATGTTATATTAATGCTGAATAAACTCAGTGGTGGTCCATACAATGGTGTAATTGTTGAATCGCATAATTAAATCGTCAGAAAAAAAGCTACTTGGAAACACTGAAAGCAAAATTATGGCAATGAAATGGAGAGAACTATTGATCGGAAGGCATTGGAACAGATATTAGAACTGCAGATCCCGAGCAATAATGGATTGGACCTAGAGCCCGGATAGCTGATTGGTGTTGTAGGCCGAGAGTGATAGAGAGAATGCAAATTCCTGTCAAACGCAGAACGTGTACGCTAGCCTAGCTTGTGCCGGAAGCTGCGAAAAATTGAATACGGTACAAAGGTCGCCATTTCAGATTCTGTGGCATTGTGCGCTCAGAAACTATTCCGATATTAATCAGGCACGATCAGTTGTTTGCCAAATTGTTCAGTGCGTAAGTCGAAAAGTTTGGGGATGCGCCGCCTTCCTGATAATGTTCTCCCCAAACCCGTGTTGTAGACCGACGAATATAATCAGGCGATAGTTGGAGATGTCGTTATTCCGCCCTCTTTTGCGGAAGAAAGTTTAGTTAAGTGTACACCATCTCTATGCTTGTCGAATTACGCGTGATGAGGATTCCCGGTACTGCAAGGAACATGGCTTCCTCCACGGAAGAAGATTGCCAGCAGCATGAAGTCTGAACTTATAAATTTCTGCGTGTCGCGACCAAAGCGCTCAAGTTACGTGACGTTGCCGTTGATTCTTTGTTAGGGAAGACCACCAGGCCTGTTTATTGCGCTTGTAACAGTTCAACTGGATGTTCTCAAGGAAAATTACCTGAGCTAGATATACAAGGGATAACCATTCTACAAATGATTAACGAAGCTCCACGGTCTTCTGGGATCACGCAGTATGGATACTCGAATAAGTTGTGTCGAAATAGGAGCGTGGCCAGAAAAACATCAGAGTCCATGGTGTACAACCGAAAACAGAACACTAGGCCCACGATTAAGAAGAGTCTTTGTGGTTATAGGATGAGGAAAATTCAATTAAAGTGAACGTTTTGTAGTTATGTAGAGGCGGGTTAATCGAGAACTGTATTGTGTTTATCTGCAGAACGACCTCGAGTAGAAGGGGTTCTGTGACCGCTCAATTAAAGGTTGATATTTCGAAGTCTCACATTGGCCGGATGTTATTTGAGGGACTAAATGAGGGATAACTTGGCTGGGAATGTTGGCTTTATGCAGCACTTTTTGATCCCAGGACACTCGCCATCTACTAGCTGTAGTGCTTTATCGCTCATCAAATTGATCTCTTTTTGCAATCGAAAGTGGAACGTAAAAGTGGAATAGGAGTGTGAACTACCAGCACTCTGCGTCGTGCTGAAGCCTCGGAGACATGAATTGTTGAAAATCATGTTTAGACCCGGAACTCTATGGTGGCCAAGACGGGAAATGAGGCCCGATCTCCCCAGTAGTGGCGAATGACAGTGGTCAGGCTATATATATACCGATAGATATATATGCGGACTAATGCCGTCCAAACAATGAGCAAAATCATGCACACCGTTAGTTAATCAGAAGCATCGAACATGGTAGCGGGAATCTGTAACCGCCTATATAATTTGAGCCGAGCTGATAAGGTATCTCCTGTTGCTCTGATAGGTCACCAGTTTTTCAATGCAGATTTCACTTGACGTTTCTTTTCCGACGGTGGCCACTGACGCAGTGAAATCGAGACAACAGAAGTCACTCTGTCAACTAACTCCAGTAAATTTCCACGGACGTCTACATATCAATTTTCGGAGTTGCAGATATTTGAAACTAAAACTTGGGTCAGTGAGCCATGAAGATGATGTTTTAAAAATAGGCAGGGGTGTAGCTAATGTGTAGTTTGGTGGAATTATCTTGGGTGTCACTTTGCAGTGTCTAGGGGCATTCCAGATGGGTGTAAACTCAGTGGGTGCCTGACTCCTTTTTGTAGCAGATCACCGTCAGAGCACCTACCGCCTCATTTGCAGCAGCCAACATTCACTCACAAAAAGCTTGAAGATACTTAACCTGAAGAGCAGTATAGGTGATTTCTAGGTTAGCAAGGATGCATTTGGTAAAGGCGTGAATATCAGAAACGGGTTTCTGTGAGAGGTCGCCAGTTATTTTGAATGTAGAATGAACGCGAGAACTTACTTTTGAGATTTTACGTAAGACAGACCCCAGGATGTTTGCAAGGTTGAGAAATTCTCGGCGAATGTGGTGGACGACTAGCATTGCGGATCGCTTTGGCCCTCGGAGTCAGTTTTGTCGGTTCCATTGCTTGCTAGAAACCCAATTAACGATTGTCAACACCCTTCAGAGAGCACTTTCTTCCTGCAAACGCCGTTCCTCTCCACTCGCCTCAAGTGCCGTCCGTCACCGACATTTCGCTATCTAGGGCCTGAGCTGATACTGACAGTTCGAGATCACTTCATACATGAAAAGGATACCGGTTTATTTGCGCCATGCGCTGGTGATCCTGGTCCCTTCGTACCAGAGTGCGATTTTCCTCCAGCCCAGAATCACCGCGTTGCCGTCTTCAAGCAATGTTTAATTCACTGACACCAGTGTCTACTGTAATGCCCTACGTTGAACGATGCCGATTTTCGTGTTACTGCTTGGATCAAGATATTGCTGCCTTCTATGACTGTATAGAGTCGATCCTGACACCACAATTATGATCATGCTGATTGTATACCATCCGGGTTCAACCCCATAGCCATTAATCACTCGCTACGCACCATTACGCTTCTGATAACTGACTGATGTCACTTCGATTGGTGATGAATCGTTTGCACTCAGGTTGCCCACAAATGTTTCTATGAAATCAAATCCTTCGACTTGTTGGCAAACGGGAGTTGCACACTCTTGGTGGCGGCTCCATGTTTATCCCCCACATCTTACAGACAATTTGCTTTCCCAACTGTTTTTCATTCATGATACCAGGTTCGGTGACCGCGAACTAAATTTTTTCCCTTGTGGTTTTCCTCTGAAGCAAGCTTGTGGTTTCGAGATCATGTGCTAAAAATTCCCCCCAACAATGGAAAATTTGACTGTAAATTTCTTAACAGGCTCTAGCACAGCAGTGCCGGAAGGCCTGTGACTTAGCTCAACATCTCTGCTTTCAACCACCCATCTCGGAACCGCAAAGGGGCATGCAAAAATTCCACGGAAAATGCAGATGAATGTGACACCTGAAGGAAGTGGAGATTAAGGTAGTGCTGTGCCGCAATCCATTTTAAGCACCCTCGAATTCAAACAGTGCATTGACGGGGTTCTAACGGATTCACGTCTTCCTTCTATAAAGTGTGTACAGATCATCCATGCTGCGTCTGTTGTTTAAGCTATCGACTGTGCCGAGTGGCGCACTTTTTCAAAACTAATGGCGGGAAATAGATTCTTTTTCATCCGCATCTAAGGTCTGTGTCGTTTCGAAGCGCTTCATGCCAATGTATTCCGGACCTTCTTTGTGTGTAAGTTTATCCATTGAACGCGGGACTAATTTGGTGTTTCCCACGTGCGAAACTGGCTGAACAAAATCTCCCTGTTCGTTACAGACATTTGGGTCCAAAGTGCTCAATGGATATACATACTAGCGAGGAATTCACCGCTGTTTCTCAATGTAAGTTACGTAGTATCGTACACATGTTTTGCACGTCTCATTCTATCCGGGTTTACTTCACTTTTTGCGCACAAAACCTGTAGACCGGTGATGTGTTGTAGCGAAGCCTTATTTCAAATTTCGAATTTCTGAATCGAATGGTGTTCTCCCGTGTTTTCGAGTTTCTTCTGAAGGTTTGATTCCAGCGGATCACCTATATTTGGCATAAACCTCACTTCAGTCGCCAGTTCGTAACAGGGTTAAATTTATCGCATGCTGGGACGATTCGACGTTCATGTAGTGACCAAACGGGCCCCCAGTTGGGGTGTACTTGATACTGTTAGATACTGTTCTCGAACATAAACTAACAGTGGAGCATAGCTGTTTTGCCAGCAACACATGCAAGCCTGCAAGCAAATATCACCTCGGGGGCCACAGACTAGGTGTTTCAAAAGGACGTGAACCATATTCAGCTACTAGAAATATGACTGATTATTGGGAAGGTGGATGTATTTAGGTGTCGGCTAGCAATCTTCGGCGCCAAAACATTAGGAGGTATTGAACACAGCAATCCTGAAGCTCTTGTGCTTTTGTGCAGTGATGTTGCTAGCTTTGTTCACTTGTTTGCTTGTTCCAGTGAGTACGCGGCGTGTTGGAAAGAAGCTCATGCATTTGAAATAAACTTGTCCTGTTCTCCAACTTTGTCACTAATTGACACCCGGAATTAATCGAGTGCTACTCCCAGCCTACTTTCATGGTCCAGGGTCTAAGTTGGGTACGTCAACGAAACATTTCGGCCAGGGTGGCCGTGTATTGAATCCCGCAGATGTAGTGTGGATGTTAGTATTGTCTTTGGGTTATAGGCTCCAGCGCTTCCTACTATCTTTTTCATGCAGTTTTGCTTGGTTTCAACTCCAAATGTGACGTCCATTTCTAGCCTTACTCGGAAGAATATGATCTAAACGTGCGGCATGAACATTAAGCGTATGATATCCGTATGCTTTGTTAAATGGTTCAACAGTCCTACCTCACCCTTACGCTCTCCCTAAAAAATGAACGTGTTCTATGTCTGAACTCACTGCAGATGATTTCAGGGACGTCGCTACTCCACACGGCTGTATGGGAAATCATTTCGGTGAGAGTTTATGTAAGCGCTCCGAAACCCAATGACTGCGATTGTTTCATACAGCTTCCCACAGGTTATCCATCTATTCTGAGCTCAAACATAAGCCACGCGCGTCAAATTGCACCCTAACCAGCCGAGCACTCGGACTGACTACACAGCAGCGAATGGTGATGTTTTGTTCAAGGCACTCCTTTTGGAATACGTGCTGACTCATCTCATTCCTCTGCCACCGAGGTAAAGGCAGAGTTAGGCACGGGAAACAGCGCTTGCACCCGCAATACATGGTCCAAACATTTTAGCTTGCAGTGTTGAATGCATTCTGTGGGGGAAGTGTCCTTTACTTCATAAGAAAAACATCATCTGTTCACCTCATTGCGAATTTACTGATTTTAATGGATTTCACATTTTTCCGAGACATCGGTGGTCGACACCTGAAGATCTTACGGTTTAAAATCTTCCTCCCAAGTGGCCACACCTCACGCACAACAATACATCCCATACTCTAGTCTGTTATGCGCGTCCTTTGAGACCAAGTGAAGGGCCTGTTTGACGCCACAAGTGGCGCAAATTGGGAAACGCAAATATGGCCTTAGAGTTCCGTGCTCCGACTTCCTCTGCCTTTGGAGCTAATGGAACTTCCGAAATTACTTAGTGTTCGAAAACCTTGAGTGTCACTTCTTGAGTTATCAGAGTCATGTTCAAAAAGCATACTTTCTGCAACATGACTTTGCAACTTGTGAGCGTGAGGTTCGTGGTGAGGAACTGGGTGACCTTGGTCAGCTTTTCAAGTAATGAGCTTTCCGCTCTCGGGATGCTCGTTCACGGACATGGTTTGCGCTGATGAGACTGTTCTTATAGGACCAGAACAAACCACCTTGAAGAACCTAGATTATTCTGCCGCACAGCGAGGTGGCTCATGTGGTTAGAGCGCGAATTTACTGACCGGAAGGTCCGTGGTTCGAAACCCGACCTCTGCCTCTCGACTTCTCCTGCCTTGGCTTGGGCAACCCGGCGGTATCCCAGACCTCGTGCTTCCTTCGGGTAGCATGGCAGCTAGGCACCAGAAGTGTGTTACAGCTGAGCGATCTTGATTTTTCACATTTGTACTATTGGTAGATTGGGTGTGATAAATGTCAAACATATTTACAGTTGATTCGACCAATGTGCATAACTTCGGCCATCTGGGCAGTTCAAACGGGTCGACGAACTCGACTTTCGAATTGGGCAGATCTAAGCAGCCCTTTCCACTCACCAACATTCGTCGCTTCGACCTGAAATCAGTCTGGCTTTCAGAGGTAGAATGCACTACTGTGGCTCGATCTTCCCTATTTTATGCATCAGCTACGTGTCTACTAGGTGCGGAATATATGTGGGAACCCTGCGTTTGGTCCTCGGTGCCCCAAAGGCGTTGTGTGGGTCTGGTGTGAACAGTAGATCAGTAATGTCAGATGATTTTCAAGAAAGGCCACTCCCTCAACAGATCAGCTGGTCACACCATAAGGTACGCTGGTCAAACCATTTGTCTCTTATAGCGCATCTCGCCCTGCCTCTCACCAGATGGAGACGGTTCAGCGGAGCTCAGTCGATGGCTTGGTAACAAAGCATGGAACCTTCTCCTAGTCAACTTAATCATGTTGATACCTCTCCCTCCTCTCCCGGAGGTGGGCTTTATAAAGGAAGCAAACGAATGGTCATGAGCCATTATAGACATGGGCCTGTCACGCAGCCAGTGGCATTCCTGCATGAGTGTTGATGCCGTCAGTGTGTGGCTCTCAGGTCCTGCCATATCAGGCAGTGAAGCATCGGTATTGAACACTGATG